GTATATAAATAATTTCGAATGCAATCTTATCAGTATTTGAAGTGAGTTATCAATACTATTTTTATCTATAGTGTTACTTTATAATAAAGCATGATATGTATATAAATTTGCAGAAAGCATTAAGGGAAAAAGATGTCTTGTCTAGAAACGTATATTGTTGTCATTTTATATGAAATAACATGATAAAGAGATTCGAAACGTCGATCTCACGCAGTATCGTTCGGTCAGCAAACCTTGATAGCCCAAGTCCGATATTAGGCTTTCTTGAGTATTCTGATTTAGAGCCATTATTGCGTACAGACATATGCACAAACGCAAGCAAAAGTACTATGAACAATAAAAAGATATAAGGAGAATTCACCCTATTTCGGTTTAGTTAATAACGAGATTAGTAGTTGAATTTTCCCATCATTATATAAGGATACCTTGCATCTGCATTTAATTTCGCAACCTCTCCTAGCTTATCAGTGCCCCCAGAGGGACAGTGCAACATGACATGACATGAAAGTGCAACGTATAATTTCGACACGTTAATTACTACGCCACACTGTCACGAGTGTATTTAAGTCACATGGGGAGATGTGAATTTTGAATAAGGCCACGGTAGGATGCTAGGAATCAAGACAACTACTATGGCAGACGACTTCGGACTCGGTGCGTTCTACATAGTCTCCCTAGAGCACAAGACCAAGCTGCGACAACGAGGTCAACCCACTTCTATAATGACTCAGGCTAGGACCTACCTGTCAAGGAATGTCGATCATGTGGCCACTGTGCAGCCAAACTAAAGAGAGCCTCTTCTTTAGAGCTTCCATTATCTTTACTTTTTTTGTAGGCGCCACATATATCTTCTTGTCGCCCTTCTTCTGGAATATCTTTTTTAGCTGAGGAATCATAATGTTGTTGGGCAGCAGATTTCGAGTTAATGGGCCATGATTTATGGCTCGATAACTCCAGTGGTTCCCCAGCTGGTCTTGCGGACTGTGTCTGTGTCGATATAGGCCTAATTTGAACTGAGCCAGCAGTGCATGTAGAAAGGGAATTCACTAGGAAGATAACCTGACTCGGGGTGGTGGTAACTGTGGCAGACGAGCTGTGTCGGCCTGGAACCAAAATGCCAGTAATATGCGGGCCCACAGCAATCTGAAGTACAGAACAGGTCAAGGTGGCAATGTGTCGGCTGCGTATTGGACCAGCAAGACGTAGTTCTAATGTGCCAAGACAAGCTAAATTCAAATGAAACAAAAGGCATTGGAGATTTAAATAAGAGAATAAAACCAAGGCTTCTTCTTATTTTAGAGGATAAGAAGTTTGAGATTTAATAAGCCATTTCTAAGCCTGAAAGTGACAAGCGCAATTATTCCCACATGAGGCAAAGAGAAGCGTCAACATTGAGCGTAACTGTGATGTAGCTTAGTCCTCTATTCGAGGTCAATCAAGCAGAATAAATTTTACTGTAGCCAGGAGATTTCAATGAACCCAACTCTTGAATACAGAGTTTAGCAACAAGATTCAGGACATTATGCAAAAGATAAAAGTAAACAATAAAGTTAAGAAAATATATGGGTACAAAAGCCGAATAAAGTGAATATACAAAAAAGACAGTCGATTATATGAATTCTTTATACGAAGAAAATGCTGATTTGGAATATTCTCGTAAGATAAAATTAACGTGAAGGCTTTCATTTCGTATGTAAGTACATGATAAAGAGATTCGTAGGCCAATCTCACGAAAAGACTTCGGTTGATTCACGTTGTACCCCAGCCGTTTGGTATTAATACGACCTTCAGTTCATGAGACATCCTCCAACATTTCGAGCGAAGACGGGCTGAATTTCGTTCATGTGATGGACATCTTCATAGCTAGGAGTCATTCTTGCAAAAGCTTCCATTTAACATAAAACCAATAAAACTGAACGGCTTTTTCTATATGATATATGTTCATTTAAAGCAAAATTTAAGATATAGATGGATTTAGAAAGGTTTGGTTAATTCACGTAAACTCGAGTGTGCCCGTCCATATTTGTGTCAACGTATGTACTCAAAACCGTTCATAACCTAGAGTAATTAGAAAAATCTCAACGCCAGCCACAGGTCATTAGGGCTTAGTGACTCAAGGAAAAAAGGGAAGAAGGATGACCAAGATTGCGTTAGTACGTGAGTAAAC